TACCAATCAACCACTCCCCGTATTCACCTGATATGGCACCGTGAATTTGTCGATGAAAGGAAAGCGTTATGCAGACGTGGAGGCCATTCAAAAGGCTTGCACCGGCATACTAGCGGCCATACCGGGCAACGAGCTAAAACACTCGTTCGACATGCTTTTGGACCGTTCAAAAAGCTGTATTAAAGCAGAAGGAGACTATTTTAAATAAAATTAATTGATTTTTTCGATAAAACCATTTGTTCTGTGTACCTTGTACATCTAGTTTTAATAGCTAGAGTAAAAAAAAAAATTGTTTGACCTTAATTACGGTATTTCAGCGTTACTGAGTGATAGCCTGCCTAGTTGGCAGGAACATCAACTTATTCTGGTTTAAGAATACTCATCTTAATGTTCTAGATATTGAAATAATATCCGCCATCGATTCGTCATTACTCTACTTGCTATCTTTGGGCGCTGCTCTGTTGTTGAAAATTTGCATTTGAAAGCAACAACAAAATTAACGAGTTGAATTAGAGTGGTATAAATATAATATGTTCTATCTCTATATGAATCTTCGGGGACCTTATAAAGTATATACATACTTGTATATAAAGTATATACATATAAGTAAATAACCTGACGAACTGAGCCGATTTAGCCGTGTTACTGAAGGACCAAATTCAAGTTCTTATGTGGAGTCTTTTTTATTGGTGAAGGGTATTATAGATTTTCCTAAGGTTAGGGGATATTTACGTGTAAGGTTGCATTGTAAATGCTGCCGTAATTAGTCCAACCGGTGTTCGATTCGCTACTCTCTTAAGTTTAATATAGTAATATATAAATATATGAAAGAAAGCTTAATTTGACCTTATGTATAAATCGTTTATTTTAAAACTCTTTGGTATGATTAGAACACTATATCAGTAAAGCTAGTAGTTCAATACTTTTGACACCGAATAATTTATCGGATTTCAAGAATTTCTCAGCGACGTTGACTTTGACTTTGTACGGCCTGGTCAAAAGTTTAGCCTTACAGAATTTAATTGGATACTAGAGAAAGACGTGGTTTGTTGAACGCAAGAATTCAAATCTCACTCTAAATACTAGAGTAAACTCGTTTTGATGAGCGCAAGAATCTCCCTAGATATTCTACCTATTATCTCGAACCTACTCCCAGGCCGGTCATAATGTCACATTCTCATTGCAAGTTTAAGTTGCAGTTTCAGTGAATCCACTATAACTAGGCACCCATATGCGTGTGAGTACTGGGGTAGCAACCGCTTCTTGAAAATGCTACAGAGCTCTGGAGGACTAAACCTAAACATTTAAACATATAAACACATAATAAACATTTTAGACTATGTATTTCTTTTCCGTAAGCTTAAAATCAGAGAACGATAACGAATATTTAAGGCTTAATATCTCAAATAATCACTATGACGTATCGAATTTATCTTCGAATGTTTGTCTGTCATGCATTATCAGATATAACTTATTGAGACGTATTGATGAAATTTTGAACAAAATCTGTGTTATTTGATGATATTTAAATTTCCGCAACTTAGTTGTCGATTAGTCCACGTCACAATCTGGGTCCGTTTGGTGGACTTTAAAGCACACATACATATGTACAATATATGTTTCAATAAGCGAAATATAATCTAAAAATAATGTAAGTATGTTACAATTAGCAGCATGTCAACAGCATCAGTTGATTTTATTCTATACTGTCTTACAAATAACCAAAGAGTATATACATATATATATATGTATGTAATTGTATGTACTCATATAAATATGTAGTCTTTCCATTGAATCGAAATATGTCTGGGTTCAATCAATGTGTGTATGCAATGATCGAATATGCTTTTAGCAAACAGTATACAACCTTCTCCATCCCTCTGCGCAATTTGCTCCCTACAAATTTTCATTTTTATACATGCTTGGGAATTAACTACATAATGTATTTACACACATACATACATACAGGTGATGACATATATATGCTATGACTATAGAGTCCCTAGCCTTATGGGCTTATGGGTAAATAATCTGTATTGAATTATGCTACATATCCATATCTGTGTATAGTTTATATTAAGCTGTATTGGTATTTCTTTTTTAGATAAATCAGGTCAATGGGTTTTATTACTGTTGCAAGTTTTGATATTGTGAAGTGGAAAGTTTTCGCTCCGTGAATACAACAATCAGATCGATCGAAAAAGAATTAAATCGTACACAGTATTACATATATGTATACTAGGGTGGATCAACAAAATTAATATTTTTTTCGCTTTGTATTCTGAAAAATAGGTTCTTAGACACCTCCAAGAAAGTATCTCCAAGTTTAAGCTCTTAATTGTAACGGGAAGGTTCTCCGCCTTACAGTTTTCTATTTTTTTCTGCTTTATTGCTCTATATAAAGGTCTTTAAGGATTTTTTCGCAAACCTAACCGTTTAGAAGAAATTAACGGTTAACACATTTACACATTTTTTTCGTCTTTATAAATTTTATAACTCAATGAAAAAAAAAACATTTTAAAATGCGAACGTCAAAGTTTAATTGGAAATGTACTGCTCTACAAAAATGGTAACTTACTTTGTAAATATACTTAATATGCTTAACATAATCGAAAAATTATATGAAACCCATTTTCTAGAGCTGAAAATCTCCTACAGGAGTATGAGGTTTGCAATTTTAAATGTTTTTTTTCATTGAGTTATAAAATTTATAAAAAAAAACAACCTTGCCTTAATATATTCAAACTTCAACCGTTAATGTTTAGGTTTACGAAAAATGCAAGAGCTATGAAGTGGTTTCATTCAATTTTCTACAAATCTATGAAACGAGATATTTTTTTAAGTAGTTTGAAGCAAGATATACCGTTACAATTTCGAGCTCATACTAGGAGAGACTTTCTTAGAGATGTTTGAGAACTTGTTTTTTAGAGTACCATGCGAAAAAATATGCGTTATTTTTCCCGAACACCCACGAACGTACATACATGTGTATTACTACATTTATACCAAAAATATATATAAGCGAATATTCTCCTTCCACACTTTAATACACAATCATAAAATAGATTAAATGAGCATTGATTCGTGGTCAAAAACTCTTCGCTTTCCCCAAATTTCTAATACTACACTACATTTTTGTGGTAGTTGTGTGCCTTTTTAGGGGAAAACTTTTCCATAAGTGGATCAGAGTGATTTCAAAGTATTTGTTGGTGACACCAAGTTTTTCCTTTGTTAACATAAAATCAGGATTTTTAAGGAAACTAAATCACAAGTTGCTTTAAAAGGCTTATACAGACGGCTTAACCATAAAAACATATACTTCTTTGCTTTGAAAGTTCATATCGTTGTTGGAAGGATGAACATTTTTGTTGTTTGTTAAACAAAGTACTATAAATGACAAAAGTGTCGATTCGCCGTAACTTGGAGAGTTATGAATCAAACAAACAACCGTGTACAAGTATGTGGAATGGGAAGAAGTTATACTTCTTTGATGAGGTGTCAATTTGATTGGATAACTTTGGTGTTGAGTATACCAACAGCGAAAAGATAATCGGTAAATCGAAAATATTTTAGCTATACCAATAACTCGGTACTAAATCAGTCAGGGCAAATGGTAACATGCAGGTAAAGCTTTCTATAATTGACAATGCAAACAAAAACTCTAAAAACTGACCGCTAAAATCAATTTCTATGCGTGGAAAGAAATGAGACGTTGTAAAATGACGAAGGGTCTGGACATTGAATACCTTTGTTAGATAATGGGCTTAATAGCAAGCTTAAATGGCAAGATAATAGGAAATATAAGAAACTAGAAGCTAGTAATTGATTGCATTATTCGGATTCGAACAGCACAGTTAGTTGGGTGCTAGATTGGTAGATTAAGCACTGTGTATAAATACTTAACTACCAATTGCGACTCTAATTCCAATTTCGCGATTTAACATATTTTAAAAGGGGCTTTTTGAGCTTTTTTTATTTTTGTAACAAGACTACTTAAAGTTAGGGTTATTAATACCGAGGACTACTGAGGGATAAACTGTTAAGGACCTAGCATAACTATATCAAAGACAGGTCGGTCGACCTGCTTTGCACTAGTTGTTTCAGGGCTGGATTAACGACAGGTTAACGACCTACTGAAAGAACTCGAGAAACGAGGCTGTCGGGTTATAGCCTATGTTGACGACGTTGTTCTTATGGTAAACGGAAAATTTCTAAATTAGTTTATGAGGTAACCGAAAGGTACCTCAATGTGGTATCCAATTGGTCAAATAGAATCGGTTAAGCTGTAAACCCTGGTAAAACTAAAATGGTTTAATTTACTAGAAGGTCTAAGATCCCAAACGTGCCTCTTATCTTTTCGGAGGCTCACGTCTTCAACCTGCTAATTAGGTGAGATATCTATTGCTTATCCTTGATAGAAAGCTTTCATGGATGCCAAATATTGAGGAGAAAGTAATGAAGGCATTGGTTGTCTAATATTACTGAAGAAGAGCTATAGGGAAAAAGTGAGGACTCTCACCAAAGTTTGTGTTTTGGCTCTACGAAACCGAAGTCAGTTTTCAATTTTAGCTTTAGGCTACCGGACATCTGCAGTGCTCTTCAAGCAGAAGTGGCTGCTATTAAGGTCAGGGTATACCAATCGTTTGGGTGCTAAGTCATAGCGGAATCGCTGGAAACTGCAAAACCGATAAGCTAGCCATGTTTTAATATTGAAATTGCAGTTTATTTCTTTCAATTAAGACTTTTTTTTTATAAAATTTCAATGGTTTTTCAATTACCTTATATATTTCAAAACGAATAAAAATATAAGAAACTCTCTTAGCGTATTGTATAATAGTTTCGTCTACTGAACAGCTGGTTGTAGAACGATATAGATATAACGTTTTGGTCTCAAAGCCCTGGAAAGGTCAACAAAACGATGAAAAAATGCCTCTGAACCATTTGGCGCTAATCGGAATCCAATCGGCAGTCCGGTTGTTCCGCGGTCAGACTCATCCTATGTTTCCGAAAAAACAACAGTCTAGACAAAGTTTTAGTCAGTATTTATTGGGTTTCACATGGAATTATTTTCATCAACTACATCGAATATAAAACAATTAACAAACATTAATACTGTGCGTTATTTTAACGATTGGACGTCGAGTTCAAAATTAAGGCCAATGCCTTTGCAGACTACACAGTAAAACAGACACGTGAGAGGATAAGATATTACGCTATATTAACTAGAGCTTACGTAGTTTGTTTATTATGATATCGAATAGGTTGATTGATACTTATTGAGATCTGCAGAAAGAAACTGATTGATATCACTAATTTTTGCAAAATATACGAAACCTTATAGCTCGACAATGCAGCAAGAATATATAATAAAGATAAGTGTCTAAATACCTGCACAGATTTTTTTGTGTTTAACAGCAAGTTAAGCACGAATTAGTTTTTAGGACTTTTTACCACTTACCTTTCAATAGAACGACATAGTTGTATGAATATTTTTTTTTAAATTAGGTTGTTTCATTATTTATTCAAAGGTTTTGAGTATAAGGCTTTTTATTGATTTTTATTGGACTATATAATAGTTCTGTTTCTCTTCAAGAAAACTTTGAAAGCTTTGTGCTGACAAGGTGTTTAATGCATAAGTACCGTAATAACTTAATAATTTTTTATGGAAACTTGCTAGTGTATATATATTTTCGCTTGTAGTGCATTCAATATTTGGCAGTATAAATATATCTACATACATATAGGTATATGAAATCAAATATAAATGCGTTTATTAATTTATGTGATAAATGTATGTATATGTATACGCCCTTTTAATAAGTTTCCCTCGCGTTTCTAAGCAATATTATTGTTGTTACTATATAAAGTCGTCAATTTCTTGTTAATACAATTTATTTTAAAAATGTATGTTTTCACAAATGAAAGCAGACAAGTACGTGTGTATCTTTATTTTTAATGGCTGTCATGTGGCTTGTTGAAATTGTAGCTATTGTAGTGCATTTATTTAATTTATTCGAATTTTTGCTATCTTACTTTGTGAACAAACCTCGTATATGAAAAATGTCACTTTGAAGAAGTTTTCTTCATAGAGAAAGAAGTTATATTTGAGCTTCTATGATATCTTCGAGTTTTTATATACATGTATGATATTGTATGTTAAATAATGGAAAAGGCCAAAATTATTATAAATTGTTGGAAAAACCATATTTGTATTACATTGTGCCTTATGAAAACACATTTCGAGAATATGGAATGAAACCCAAGTTCACTGAATACAAATTTTCTCCACTGAATGTCTCGTAGTATAGTTGGATTGTTGTCAGAGCTTTAGAAGTTTAAAATATCGGTAATAAAAAAAGAATACATAAAATGTGTTTTATATACTTTTTCATCAGTGGTCAACTCGAAGTTTTGACACTTAAGAAATTTGGAATAATTCGAATTTTTGGAAACAGAAACAATTTTTTATATTTGAGTGACTATTATTCTAAAAATCTATGAATGTGCATACATTTGCATAGTTTTGTAGTTTATTTGTAAAACATTTAAATTTTAAATTATCGATAATAAAATTTTTGCGAAATTTAATCTTTTAAAACTCTTTAAAATAAAAAAAATAAAATCAGCCGTATTACATTAGACTCGCATATTTACTAATTCCCAATTCACAATCTAGAATTTTTCTTCAGTATTTTTTAGACCTTCAAATTATCTATTTAAGCCTAGTGTCGAACGTCGATTAAGGCGTAGTTTTTGCATTGTGAAGTGAGGCTATGTTAGATTTTTTGCAAATTCGTCAAAATTCTCTATTATCGTGATAGAATTTACTTTATAATTGTAGATTGTTTCATTAAAAAAAGGACTCATACTGCAGTAAATTAGGTTTTTTTCAAATATTTTAAATTTAATCCGAATTTATAAAGTTTTTTTTATCATAAATTCAAAATAATTTTATATTTAAAATGAGATTATGTTGGGTTGTTTGCAATTTCGCCAATATTAGCAGCAACCAACATTATAACGTTAATTATTGTGGTATATACTGACAGTTCCGTTCACAAAAATACCTTTTCATATCTACGGCAGTTTGGATTTATTTTCAAGTTTTTAAAAAAAATATTTTCATATCTACTGTCTCGGATTTTTTGTAAAACAAAAATAAAATACAATTATTTTAATTTAGATAAATTTTTGTATCGAAAATTTAAAATAAATTTATTTTTTACAATTTTCCACGCCTCTTTACAAATATGTGATAAGAAAAACTTTTATAAATTGTTGGGTGCACAGATTAATAACAATAAAATTTAACAAAATATTAAATGAAATATATTTAATAAGTGTTCTTTTGTAGCTAAATTAGAAATTTTATATAATATAGCTATAATTTCTTATAATTTAAGAGTTTCCTAAACGACCAATGAATCGACTTAGTCACTATGTTACAAAAAAGTTAAACAACTACAAAATAATATATATTTATTATAATGTGCATATACTTTAATTTTGTGAAATTTCTGATTTAATCAATTTAATATTTATTTTTGAAAAGTATTATGCGCAATGCTGGCATTGCTGTGAGTTTACATCCGATATGAAAATGATATTTATCACAGATTATTTTGATGCAATCGAAAAACAAAGCGAAAGCGAATGAAATGACGTCTAAATGCTTATCTGCTTATATGCATAAGCACATTTGTAAGTATGTTTGCATGAATTTGTATGTTAATTTATGACTACTTATAAACGTGTGCCTGTATACCGAAGACTCTTATATACAAAATCTGTGCGCGCTGTGTATACGTGTACGTCCGAGTGTGTGTGTGTGTGAATTTTATTTTTGTGCTTATATATATATAATATATTGTATATTCAAAGTTATAAATAGCTCGACTTATGTACCTAATAATTATCTCGCATTCCACTTTTCATTATTATTATACTCATGGCAAACTGGAGAAACCTTCTACTACGGACTAAACGTCACATCAATGCGAACCAACAACAATAAACGCTCGAACAATCAACTAGTCGAATAATCGTATCTTCGCATCTCCTGCAAACGCTTTAATTTGTGTATGTATGTATGTAACGATGAACACTTTGTTGGTGCATAACTAATGTCGCAGATGTTGTCGGCAGCGTTGTCGCCGCTACAGTAAATGAAGTACTTTTGTTGTTCGCCCCTAACGCCTGGCGTATTGGCAACAGACAGCGCTGCGAGGCACTCGTTGTGTCGGCAGACCCGATATACCCTTCAAATAGGTATAGGAGACTGGCTGCCGGAGTATACGCTGCGGTGGTGGCTTCGTTTTGCCCTTCGACGAGGAGGACTTTAATTTCGCCGATGACGTAATTGGAGCTGATGCTGATGACAAGTGTAAGCTCGTTGCCGAATTCGACGTGCCACAACCGACACCACCGCCACTAGCCTGTGTCTTCCTGTTCAGCTCCACATTCGAGTTGTATTTCAGTGCCGATTTGATGGGCGTGTTATTGCTGGTGCTGCGTTGTTGGACGTTGTGTGGCGTGTCGGCGCTGGTTGTCGCATTAGCGCCGCTACATGATAGTGAACGTGTTGATAGCGAGAAGTTTTCAAAAGCGCGTCGTATGGAAGAGGTGGAACGACGATGCAGACGCGAGAAGCTGGCGCGTGCACTGGTGCGTCGCTCTTTGGCTACTGTCGATTTCGTAGTTGTTGTTGGTGAACGTAGCTGCTGTTGTTGCTCGTCAATGTCGTCGGTGCTGCTTGTCTCGCTGGAAGCGCACGATATGTGTTCACTGCTCGAGCCGTGACCATCCTTCAAACAAGCGTCACTTGTTTCCAAGCGTGCGCCAGCACTGTTATTGCTGATACTGGCGTTTACCGCGTTACCGCCATTTGGCGGCGATGACGTATTTGTTGCACCGGTTGAACGGTCCACGGTTGGCATTGCAATAATGTTCGACGAGCACGAATCGGTCGAATCATCTTCGGTGGCACTAAAAACTGGGTCATCGCTGGAGCGCAGCAGTCCAAAGCGCCGACTGAGTTGTTGAAAGAAACTCATATTGCGTTCGTAGCGTGGAGTTGGCGAAATGCTGAGCGTGCTACTAGCGGTACCAGGCGACAGGCTGCAGGGCGGCATGTCCTTGCTGGGATCGGTATGCAACGTCATTGTCGTCGCGTCCAGGCTGTTATTTGCTGTGCCGGCATTCATACCATGCAGTTCATACGTGGCTCCAGTAGACTTGGTTGTGCTCAGCGTTGAAACCGCTAAGGCCGAGGTGGCGCTTGTGTAGTGCGGCACATCGGCGAAGCAGACATGCAATGTACCCATTGCGTTGTGGTTTACAGTTTGTTAGTGTCGTTTGAATTAAGTACTGCAGTGCAGTCGCGTCTTTCGTCAGTATATTAGTTCACTTTTTCCATTAATTAATTTTGAACTTTCTTGGGAAACTAGACAATACTTCGAGAGTTTTTTTTTTACTTTCTTATTATTCAACTTTTCCATATAATGTAGTTGACTTCAACTACTTAATTATTGTTTTCTGATTCCCTTCTTCTGTGTACACTTCCAGCGCATATTTATTTTCTTCCTTTTTATTTTCTACTATGCTTTGTCCTTAAAATATTTCTTGTGTAAACACTAACGCTCTACGACGGCGTATGATTTTGTTTTCATTATGCGGCTTCTTTATATAGCTTTGACCGGCAAAAGCTGCATGTCTGCAAAATTTCTGCACAGAATACGTTCCTTTTAGGTTATCTCTGGATATACTCACACAACATCCTTCGCTCTGCTCTCACGCTTTGTAGTATATTTGAGAGTAGTACTCATTTCTTTTGTTTAAAGTACTGTTATTGAATAATCTACCGTTCAGAGTTGCCATAAGTTTGAATAAGAAAATATAAATATTTATTATCATATATGATAGGCATCATATATATGTATATATTATATATATACTACTACGGCTAATTAAGGAGTCTAGAATTTGGAAGAAACCTCCAAAAAGTTTTTGTTTTAAAGAACACTTTATATTACAAATAAATATTATTAATAGAAAATAGTAAAAATTTGCAAATCGAGCTAGGTACGTTAGTAAATGCACGTATCTACTTGTAATTTCAAATCTAGCTTCACAGTAGCATGGTCTGGTAAATTATTCAACTACGACTTTTTGGTTACCATTGCAAATTTTATTAGCTGATCGGGGTATATATAGTTTGTCACGAAGTTTGTAACACCCATAAGGAACCGTCGGAGGCCCTATAAAATATATATATAAATGATCATCATGACGAGCTGAATCGAGTTAGCCATGCTCTTCGGTCTGTCCGTCTGTTCGCCTGTATATACGCGCTAGTCCCTTAGACTTTGAGATATTTCATACGTCATTTTCTCCCCAAGAAGCTACTCGATTGTTGGAACCACCGATATCGGACTACTATAGCATTTAGAGGCCATACAAACTAAATGATCAAAACGAAGCTCTTGTATTTATATTTTACAAGATATTTTCACGAAATTTGGCATAGATTATTATCCAAGACAAGACTACAATCTCCGAACAAATTCAGATCAGTTGACTATCGCATATATTTTTTATACAAACTAATCTATAAAAATCAAGTTCCAGTGTGGAAAATTTTTTATTTGTGAAGAATATTATATCTGCGCCGCAATCGAAGTTAACGGGTTTTCTTGTTTTATAAACAATTTACTGTTTCTCTTTTGGTAAAAATTTTAAAACTGATTTTAATCTAAAGACGTGCATATTATAAATATGTATATAAATCCAAATTCGGTTTTTTTAATTTTTTTAAATAGCATGAGTTCCTAGAATCTCAGTCGTCCGTTAATACACTCTTACAAGAGCCTTATAGAGATAAATTCTTCTCATTTTTCCAACACCCGGAATTAATTGTCAAAGTTAGGCCTTTTATTAAGGCCTAGAATAAACTAACTTCTTCCAATTTTTTAGAAAACCTATTTTGAAAACAATTAAAAAATAATATAGTAAGTGTGTAAGTAGTGTTTTCTAATAAAAATTGTTTCACTCTTTAATATAGAATTTTATCAGAATTTTTGTATAAATATATTGCTAGCCAAATTTTATAAAAAATCAAAAAGAAAAGTAAAAAATATACATGTTTTGTTCTACATTTTGAACTATTTCTCTCCTTCAAACCTTCTCTTTATTGTAAACTGTTCAACAACTCAAATTCGCACATGTTCTCATATGATGTCGCTGCATTTCTGGTTGCTCTCAGGAGTCATTGTCCTTCCGTGCACAGCTTCTGCAAAACATTTTCACTTGCATTAGTTGAAAGAAAATATAAACCACATACATAGAGTATAGAGTATATATATGTATATACCCTGATGAACATAATCCGTATATACTTGTATATATTTATATATAATATATGGTATAAATGAATGTATATACTATACCAGTAAAATTTTCTGAGAGTACGAGATAGGAACATAAACATGCATACTTGCACATAAAGGTGTGTTTATGTGTAAGTATGTAAATAAGAATTTCGCGGTGTATGCTCACGGGCGGAAAGTAAAGTTGTTTAAGCGATTCTTCGTTTCATTCCATATCGAATTGCATAGCTGAAAATAGCGTGATCATTAAAATTGTATGAAGCAACTTAAAAAGGGTTCACTAAGGGTGCATGATTGTTTCAAAGTCATTCCCGTAATATTAAAGTAAAGGAAAATGTGTTATTTGGTGCGCACTTAGGTGTAATTTCGTGGGATTTATAAAATTTGTTCTATACTGAATCGTAAAAGATGCTCCAAACGTAACCTGAGTTCACTTCTGCAAAAACTTTTACATTATTGATATTATTACCAAATATTCGCGGAAAAACACGAGTTTCAGCTGTTAAAAATAACTCATACGCAGTGTAGGCTATATTTGACCACGGCGTATGAGTAACTTTAAAAACCAATTTACTTAATACTATGTTCGCACCGACACAAAATTCGTGTTTTCATAGACAAAAGAGGTTTTCACGCGCAAACTTGTGTTTTCATCAATACAAAATCTGTCAAACGAAAACACAGTTTTCGCTGAAAACCCCTTGAAAACGTACATTCCACTCATTATAATCGGTGCCTGCTCTAGCTTAATCGATATTATTAGAAGACATATTTTGCCAGCCCTAAATGTCAGTTGACAATTTGTTTACATTCCATAATTGGCCTAAACGTACCCTACAAGAAACTGCTGATGGGTTCACCAATACACTCACATTTGATATGTCAGTACTATTAATTTACATTTGCATTTTTTAATTCAGAACTATCCACTGATTGGAGAAAGACGTACTCAGAGCTATTGAGAGGAGGAGATGGCATCAAGTGAAAATTTATTTTTATGTTTTCATATTTTATTATATTTTTCGTTGCATTCCTTTTTATATTTAAGTATATTATTATAACTAATTTTGATTAAAAGTTTGAAATTTATTAAAGAAATAAAAATTATATCATCTACTGTTGTTGTAGCAATAGAGTTTTTCACTTCTGATAGCGTTTCAGTCATAACTGAATTTTTAAAGCTATGAAGGATTTATGGTCCGTAATGACTCAGAAAAAACAAAACAAACAAACAAAAGGAAAACAAGGCTCTTAAGAAAATGATAGAAGCTTTGTTCTGCGCGCTGATAAAATTTTTTCAGCTATGACTGTCATATTACCCATCAGATGACCGTCACTGTTCTTGTAGGGTACATAACAAATGTAAACAAATAGATGTGTGAACTGTCAATGAAAACTCATCGAAAACACACAATGTCGGTCAGAACAACTTTGGTTCCACAATCCAAAAATTGTGTTTTCAAGAGGATTTCAATGCGGTGCGAACATATTGTAAGTATATCGATTCAATAAATCACCATTTACAATAGTGCATTATATTAATCGAGTAAAATAAATATTACTCGAAATGATCATGATGACGAGACGAGTTGTATTGTGAAAATTGAGATACAGGGGAAAAATGGCTTTTTTGTTTCTTCGTATAGTCTGCTTTCAACTTGTCCCAGCGCTTATTGCTGTTTCTGTAACCTGTCTGCAAAATAGTTTTCTGTTGATCTGGAAAATAGACCTTTGGAGCAATGAGTGCCTTTTTCTAGTTTTGAAACAATAAAAAGTCTACCGGTTTAAATCTGGTGAATATGGTGGTTGAGACAGCAGTTTGTAGCCCAATTCGGCTAGTTAGTTCGTGGTGATAGCGCGGGTGTAAGTCGATGCGTTGTGTAGGTAGTAGATATTTTTTGCTGGATTTTACTGCAGTTCAGGATCGAATCACATTCGGATAGTAAGTCTAAGCTCCTTTCGAACATCCTTTGTATGTGGATATACTTATATTTTCATTTATTTAAAAAATTTTGCTGGCAAACACATAACAGATACGAATGAAGTTTCACCAATTTCAGATTTGGTAAATAAAATACAGCTTTCTCAAAATTTATAGTAGCTGTCTTCGATTCACAGAGCTTCTACTAGCTACTCTTCAGCGCATCAAACAAACTATACCAAATGCTAAAACAAACAGGCAGCACTTGGAATGCAACCCTGTGCTAACATGTCTTCTGACACATGCGCAATACTGTTATGATTCTCTCTTAGTGGAGAAATTCTTTTTATTTCGCTTGTACTTTTGTTTTCTATAAATAACTATAATTGATATCAAGTCTAAGGTTTTAAAAACACAAGAAAAAAGCGAAATTTGAATTTCTTTTGTCATTTGATCTATTCACAATAGTAAAACTGATCTAAAATATGCAAAACAAAATTTGGTTGCATTGAAGATAGCGGTTATCCCACTTGAATGAAGTATGCGCATACGCTCTTGTACGAATTCAACACGATAACTTTGTTGTTGCTTTTACATGTAATTTTTTTGAAGAAGCGAGCAGAGAAATGGAGAATCAAAGACAACTGGTATATTTGTATGTATGTGAAATGTGGGACGTTATTAGCGAAGAACGACGATGTGCAATAAATTACGCTTAGTACAATTGAATTTATTAAACGCTTGCACAACTGTCCCTACCATGTTGCCGCCCTATCAAAGCGTCTACATCAGCGACAGTGTATTGTGGCTCTATCAAGCTACCGTGTCGCGACGACGACATGTCAACAAAGAAATGCGTCAACACAATAGGAAAAGTGTATAAAAAGCACAAAGGAATAAACTAAATTATATACGAGTATTTGCGGAGAAAGGGGAATAAGCGTAGATAAGAATAAATCAATTTGTTTGGCATTAAAAGAGATTAATGTAGCTGCTTGTTGCTTACTATACATATAAATAAGTATCGACTTGTATATAGGGGTGTGTTCGTTTGTGTGCGTGCATACGTACTAGCAATGGGTGCAGCAATTCAGTAACTAGCAACACCGTTAAATCGCTGGCATTAACGCATTGGTGATAGCTGCAAAAAACACGGAGCTGTTGACGTGTGTTCTGTTGCAGCGGAAGAAAAACTGCCGTTAGTGATGGACATATATTGTTGGTGGCAGACATGCTTAGTGATTTGTGTAAAAAACGTGCCTTCTGGGGGGAAAAGATGCACTCGCTGTTAATTAATAGTTTACTCAAGGGCAAAGGGCTTGAATTCTGTGCCATATTTAAATGAG